TCTTTTTTTCACGACTCCTTTTAGTTCAGCGTGTAGTTTTTTCTTTTCTTGTTTTTTCCACAGCCAAGCAAAATATCTTCAAAAGATCAGACACATTTGGAAAGAATTTTTCGATTCCAGCTCTCAATTCAAAGTCCACTTTTTTCCTCCATCACCTAAAGGCTTTCAGCCCAAGAGCTCCGACATTTTGGAGCCACTTTTCTGTTTGTTTATCACTTATTGAGCACATGTATATTCATTATTTGTGAACAGTTTGTGCTCTACTTTGCTCTTTCTTTAGAAACTGTGTCCATATTCAACATGGGAGAGGTTTATTTTTATATGGATAAATAGTAAAGAGCATTAAAACTGTTCAAAACTCCCCCTTTTCGGCAAAAAAAAAAAAAGGATCTCTTTCAACAGGAAAAGCACAAACTAGTCCTGTGCACTTAAGCCATAGAAGGAAAAGCTTTTTATATTTCCTCCAACTGAGAAATGATTTTATTTGGCAAAGAAAACATTTCCAGAATAGTCAGCTGTACCCGACTGGCAGAGGAAAAAAGTTGCCACGGCCTCCATGTGGAAAACGATTTATAATGTCTGGGATTAAACCTTCTGGACACATTTGGGGTGATTTCTCCTCCAGCTGTTAGAAGTCGATCACATAATGACTCTGAGGAGGGCACGAGAGTCTTAAAACAGATCTCAGGATTTTGGAAAACTTGATCTAAATGAGTCATCTGAGCTGTCTTTCAGGCAAAAACCCCCAACTGAGGTGATGAGCGAATCAGAAGCCAGCTTCATCGTCCTGGGCCTGCTCCTCATTGGGTAAACCTTCATGAAAACAGCCATTTTATGGCCACTTGAATGCCACTTTGCCCCAAACGTGGTGAAATCTGGAGGATAGGAGTGGAAAGGGCTCGTTTTTTCGATTTGGGAAAGCTTTTCTGATATGTGAAAATGCAGAAAGGGGATGTTTTAGGGGTTTTTTTTCCTCCATATTCTGTTCACTTTAGGCTTCATCCTGAATGGAAACCTGTAAAATGACAATAAATCTTCACATAATCATACTTAAAAGAGGTTTTGGTTTCATGAATGCCTTGTTTAGGATTTGGGAAAGCTTTTCTGACATGTGAAAAGGCAGAAAAAGGATGTTTTAGGTTTTTTTTCCCCCCCATATTCTGTTAAATTTAGGTTTCATTCTGAATGGAGAAGAAAATTTCTGTAAAAGAAAATGTAAAATGACAACAAATCCTCACATACTTGTTTAGGATTTGGGAAAGCGTTTCTGATATGTAAGAATGCAGAAAATGAATGTTTTAGGTCTTTTTTTCCATATTAGGTTCACTTTAGACTTCGTCCTGAATGGAAACCTGTAAAAAAAATAAATAAAAAAAAATAAATAAATAAAAAAAAACAAATAAAATAAAATAAATAAATAAAAATAAAAAATATATATATATATATACTCATTCTAGAGGGTTCAGTCTAAAAAAAGATAATTTCATATTTTAGGAAAACTTGATTTGGTCTGAAAAAATGCAAAAAAATTCCACA